AAGGAAGGAAGGAAGGAAAAGAAAAGAAAAGAAAAGAAAGAAAGAAAGGGAGAGAGAAAGAGAAAGAAAGAAAGATGTCAAGGGAACTATGTGTTTCAAATGAAGATTTGCAAAGTTCTTCTTGGATTATTTGTGTTAGGAAAATCTGGATTTCAGAATAATGAATGTTAATATACATTTTCATATAACCAAAGCTTAAGTTACACCACAACATTACCATTGAATTGCGGATAGGCCATGCCTCTCTTCCTGACTGTAATCCTCAACCTCAGTATTTTCTAGAGGAATAGGATGATAACTTGGTTCATGGGCTCTCCTCCTCAGCATATCAAGTTGAGCATAATAGTAATCAAAATGTCCACACACAGCAGCAAGTTTGGGCCTTCCTATAATTTTTATCTGAAGAAAAGAAGAGGGGATGTTTTTAAAAACCATAATACAAATTTATAATACTTGGCAATATGATAGTGACCATAGCTAAGACAAGGCACTGAAGGTGTATTTTTGCTGTGTTTCTTCTACACTTGTTTTTCACTGTGAAATAATCTTAGAGTCCCCAAGCCTAGAGTACAAAAAGACCTAAGTACTATAGTATAGCGGTTTACAATTTTGCTAAGATATGGATATGAATCATGCACACTCCAAGATGAGTATGTGAAAAACACTTAGCTAGTGAGTATGCCCAGCCAAGCCAAGATCCAAAACTAAACTCAGAATTATTGTTTTCTGTTTTTCATAAATTTGTTTATACCTTACTATATGAGGAAAAAAGTATTTGTAAAATTCATACATTTGGGGATTTGCAACATTTTAGTTTCTGATAAATTGACTAAATGCAAAATGGCATCATGGCTTAAAGAAAAGAAGATGCTGACTCAGAGTCATTATTCTAGAGAAAACATAAAAAAAGGTCATATAACAGCTGTCATGGGAATATTACCATCCCAGCTCTTACCACCCATCCCAACCAGAACAGAATGAAAACAGGAGAACCAGAAATGACAGTTTATCCCACAATTAAATAGAGGCCACTAGCTAGAAGACAAGAAACAGATCAAATATAAAAGCCAGTCGAGACCTTCTTGCTAAAGAGCAAAGTGGGGTCAATTTAACCTTAAATGTGGCAACTCTGTCCAGTTTACAGTTAAAAGTAAAAAGAGAAAAAAAAGATGAAACTACTGGAACAACCTAGGAACGAATCATTGGGAATATGAATAACAAAAACAATTAAAACCAAAATGTCCTCATGTAGAGAGGTAACATATTATATTCTTTGTTCTTTTTACTGCTACATGGTTCATATATGTTGGATTGGACCATATGAAATTGCATATATTTGACCATCATTAATCTAGAAAAATGGCACCTTCATATAGTTCTATTTACATATTAAATGTATAAAATTTAGTTCATTAATCTAAACACAAATTATATGTTTATTTAAAAAAAATTTTTTTAAATTCTGAGACAGGATCTTGCTCTGTCACCCAACCTGGAGGGCAGTGGTGTGATCATGGCTCATTGCAGCTTCAAACTCCTGGGCTCCAGGGATCCCCTGCCTCATCCTCTCAAGTAACTGGGACTAGAGGAACATGCCACTGCATCCCGCTAATTTTTATTTTATTTTACTTTTTGTAGAGGTGAGCTCTCAATGTGTTAACCAGGCTGGTCTCAAACTCCTGGGGTGAAGTGATCCTCCTGCCTCAGCCTCCCAAAGTGTTGGATTACAGGCGTGAGCCACTGCACTGGCCTATTTTAAAAAATCTTTCAAAGTGAGAAGTAGTTTTCTTTGTTTTACAATTTCATATGCATACAACCTAGAAGAAAATACTATTAATTACTTGTTGAAAAGAGGTTAGAAATAGAGAAAAGTATTGAAAGACAATAAACAGTTTCTTTAAAATTTTCTCTAACATCCCAACAATAATAAGAATATCAGAGGTAGTTCCTGTGAAAATCAATTTTACCTTTTCAAAGAATTGGAAAAAATGTCAATGTGTTCAACAGTTCTCATAATTTAATTCATCTTCAAATCTTTTAGATGTATTTTCTCTTCTACAGGTCTGATAAAGAGTCCTCTGAATCACAAGATACTTTTCTTATTTCTTTAATAAAATTAAGCCCTTAGGCTGGGCACAATGGCTCATGCCTATAATGCCAGCACTTTGGGAGGCTGAGGCAGGGAGGTCACTTGAGCCCAGCAGTTTGTGAACAGCCTGGGAAACACAGTGAGACCCTGACTCTACAAAAAATAAAAACCAGCTGGGCATCATGGTGCACACCTGTAGTACTAGCTATTCAGGAGCCTGAGTGGGAGGATCACTTGAGCCTGGGAGGCAGAGTGATATGGTTTGGATTTGTGTCCCTGCCCAATCTCATGTTGAACTGTAATCCCCAATATTGAAGGAGAGGCCTGGTGAATGGATCATGGGGGCAGATTTCCCCCTTGCTCTTCTTGTGATAGTGAGTGAGTTCTCATGAGATCTGGTTGTTCAAAAGTGTGTGGCAGCTACCCCTTCATTCTTTTCCTCCTGAATGTAAGATGAGCCTGCTTCCCCATCTGCCATGATTGTAAATTTCCTGAGGCTTCCCCAACCAGGCTTCTGGTACAGCCTGCAGAACTGTGAGCCAATTAAACCTCGTCTTTATAAATTACCCAGTCTCAGGTAGTTCTTTATAGCAGTACGAGAACGGACTACCATAGTACATTGGCACCAGGAGTCGGGTATTTTATAAATATACCTGAAAATGTGGAAGTGACTTTGGAACTGGGTAATGGGCAGAGGTTAGATTGGTATGGAAGGCTCAGAAGAAGACATGAAGATGATGGAAAGTTTGAAATGTCCTAGAGACTTGTTAAAATTGTAGTGACCAAAATGCTGACAGTGATATGGTCAATGAAGTCCAGGCTAAGGAGGTCTCAGATGGAGATGAGGAACTTATTGGGAAATGGAGCAAAGGGCACTTTTCTTATGCATTAGCAAAGAGGTTGGAGGCATTGTATCACTACCCTATGGATCTGTGGAACTTTGAACTTGAGAGTGATGATTTAGGATACCTGGAAGAAGAAATTTCTAAGCAGCAAAGTGTTCACGATGTGGCCTGGCTGCTCTAGCAGCCTGTGGTCATATTTGTCAGCAAATAAATGATGTAAAACTGGAACTTATATTTCAAAGAGAAGCGGAATGTAAAAGTTAGGAAAGTTTGCAGCTTGGAAACAAAAACCCATTTTCCGGGGAGGAATTCAAACCAGCTGCAGATATTTTCAAAAATAAAGAGGAGTCAAATGTTGCTAGCCAAGATAATGGGGGAAACAACTTGAAGGCATTTTAGACACCTTTGAGGCAGCCTCTCTCATTATAGGCCTGGAGGCCCAGGAGGGAAGAGTGGCTTTGAGGACCAGACCCAGGTTCCCCACTCCGTGCAGCCTCAGGATGTGGTGTCCTGCATTATGGCTGCTGTAGCTCCATACATGGTTAAAAGGGCCCAAGGTACAGCTCAGGCCATTGCTTTAGAGGGCACAAGCCATAAGCCTTGGTGGCTTCCACATGGTGTTAAGTATGCAGGTGCACAGAGTGCAAGAGTTGAGGTGTGGAAGCCTCCACCAAGATTTCAGAAGACATATGGAAAAGCCTAGAGGTCCAGGCAGAAGCCTGTTGCAGGGGGACCTGCTACTAGGGCAGTGCAGAGGGGAAAAGTGGCATTGGAGTCTCCACACAGAGTCCCCACTGGGGCACTGCCTAGTGGAGCTGTGAGAAGAGGGCCACCCTTTTCCAGACTCCAAATCGGTAGATTGAATGACAGCTTGAACCACGCTCCTGGAAAAGCTACAGGCACTCAACAGCAGCCTGTGAGAGCAGCCAAACAAAGCCTCAGGAGCAGAGCTGCCCAAGGCCTTGGGAGCCCACTCCTTGCAGCAGTATGCCCTGGATGTCAGACATGGAATCAAAAGAGATTATTCTGGAGCTTTAAGATTTAATGACTGCCCTGCTAGGTTTTAAATTTGCATGGAGTCTATAACCCCTTGTCTTGGCTAATTTCTTCCTTTGAAATTAGTGAAATGGGTGAATTTACCCAATGCCTGTACCCCCATCGTATTTTGGAAGTAAGTAACTTGTTTTTTATTTTAGAGACTCTTAGGTGGAAGGGTCTTGACTTGTCTCAGATGAGACTTTAAACTGTGGACTTTTGAGTTAATGCTGAAATGATAGTAAGCCTTGGGGGGCCTGTTAAGAAGGGATAATTGTATTTTGTAATGTGAGAAGGACATGAGAATTGGGAGGAACCAGAGGTGGAATGATACAGTTTGGATTTGTGTCCCTGCCCAAATTTCATGTTGAATTGTAATCTCCAAAGTTCGAGGAGGGGCCTGGTGGAAGGTGATTAGATCATGGGGGCAGATTTCCCCCTTGCGGTTCTTCTGACAGTGAGTAACATCTCATGAGATCTGGTTGTTTACAAGTGTGTAGCACCTCCCCATTCACTCTCTTCCTTCTGCTCTGGCCATTTAAGATGAGCCTGCTTCCACTTCCACCATGACTATAAATTTCCTGAGGCCTCACCAGCCATGTGTCCCATACAGCCTGCAGAACTGTGAGCCAATTCTTTTCTTTATAAACTACCCAGTCTCAAACAGTTCTTTATATTAGCCTGTATGAGAACAGACTAATACCTTGAGGCTGCAATGAGCTAAGACACGCCACTGCACTCTAACCTGGGTGACAGAGCAAGACCCTGTTTCAAATAAATAAATAAGTTAAGCCCTTTATCAAATGAAGGGCAATAACTTAAACAATGGATTTTTTTAAAAAGTTTATATACGAAGAACACATTTTCTAAAATGTCTATGTATCAAGTAAACACTTAGTAAATATACTTCCAAATGGTTCTATAATTATACGAGCCTTCTTTAAAAATACAATTCTTTAATTAAAATATAATAGCTATTTTATCATTTACATACCAGAAGCATTTCCCTAGTATGACCTAAAAGATTCAACACTCTGCTGAAATGAATTCAAATAATTAAGCACAAAGAATCACTAGGGAAATATCAATTATTATATCATAAAAACTTCTCAATCCTATATATGTTAGAATTAAGAAAATTAAGTGCAGATTGTTTTCTATTGCTATGTTACTCACATGTCCTACATAGAAAAACCTTATTTATTAGAAATTAGAAGAATTTCAGTTATAAAAATAAAATTAAACCTGAAGTATACTAGTAAGAACATACAGCTTTGTTTTATAAAATGTAAAAACTAGAAGTTGTCCAACAAAATACCATTATAATGCTCATTACAGAATAAGTACAAAATCTGTGGACTCCAAATAATGAGCTTGTACCTCATGAACATGTGCAGGTAGGTCTGTCAGAATATACCATACCTTTAATGGGTTAAAAAAATTAGAATGAGGCCGGGCGCGGTGGCTCAAGCCTGTAATCCCAGCACTCTGGGAGGCCGAGGTGGGTAGATCACGAGGTCAAGAGATCGAGACCATCCTGGTCAACACGGTGAAACCCCGTCTCTACTAAAAATACAAAAAATTAGCTGGGCATGGTGGCGCGTGCCTGTAATCCCAGCTACTCAGGAGGCTGAGGCAGGAGAATTGCCTGAACCCAGGAGGCGGAGGTTGCGGTGAGCCGAGATCGCGCCACTGCACTCCAGCCTGGTGGTAACCTAGCAAAACTCTGTCTTAATTTAAAAAAAAAAAAAAAAAAAATATATATATATATATATATATATACACACACACACATATATATACACACACACACACACACACACACATATATATATATATACACACATATTTTTTTACACATATATGTACATATAAAAAACACAAAGGCAAGTTTAGAATGACTTACAGATATGGGCTTCTGCACTCCAGCTGGTGGTCTCCATTCATTTCTATGCAATATAGCATTCCTTTTAATTGGCACAGATATCCTTGATCTTGGTGGGCACTTTCACTGGAATCTCACTTTTTGTATTTTGCACTCTTAATTAACCAAAATAAAATGGCTTCAATTTTTTTTTAATTGTACACCTTTAATACTGATACTTGTAAGAGTATAAACATAAGCTACCTTTCAGCAAGTTTACTTTTTAGCCAGAGATATTTTACACACAGAGAAGCACAGCTGAAAAATATGCATTTTCTTTAAAAGGAGAAAACCATTTTTTCAGAGTCCCTTTGCATACTTCAAGTAATACATGACATCACTTTTTTTTTCAGAAAAATAGAAAGTAATGTTAGCATTTACAGAAACAATATGTATGGGGTAATAGTAAAAGTTATTAAATTTGGACATCAGAGCTTGGATTATCAGGCCACTCCATTCATGCCACATTATTTGGAATTTATGAGTAGATCTGTCTCTCTCTCTCTCTCTCTCTCTCTCTTTTTGTTGCTGTTGAGACAGTCTCACTCTGTCACCCAGGCTACAGTGCAGTGGCAGCGTCTCAGCTCACAGCAACCTTCACCTCCCAAGTTCATGCCATTCTCATGCCTCAGCCACCTGAGTGGCTGGGATGACAGACATGCGCCACCACATGCAGCTAATTTCTGTATTTTCAGTAGACATGTGGTTTGGCCATGTTGGCCAGACTGGCATCAAACTCCTGGACTCTAGTGATCTACCCTCGTTGGCCTCCCAAACTGCTGGGATTAAGGTATGAGTAGATTTTCTAATGTTTGTCTTTATCTCCAACAAAATTTGTTCTTGGGCTGGGCAAGGTGGCTCACACCTGTAATCCCAGCAATTTGGAAGGCCAAGGTGGAAGAACTGTTTGAACTCAAGAGTTCGAGGCCAGCCTGGGCAACACAGCGAGACCTGATCTCAATAAAAAAATAATTGTTCTTGTTCTCCTATCTTACCTATACTAGAAACATGGACAATACACTGTCCCATATTCTCTACTTATGTATTTTCTGAACATTCTCAATCTAGACTGATATACAACATCAGTCAAATTAAATGGTAAAGAAGCTCATTCATTTTCTCTTTAACTTTCCTCGATTTTAGCACCTCTATCACAATGGATAACATTTCCCTATCACGGATTTCTTTGAGAGGTTTTCTGCTCCTCCTGATATTGTAAGTCTAGACATTCAGTTGTGGCTAAATCCTGGGGCTTTGACTTTCACAGCTTCAAGTGAATTAGTAATTTTCTCTTCCTTAATGCACCCCTCCCGTGACACAGAGCACTTCATCACTTTCACATAGTAACAGTTCCGATTAGACACCAAGATCCTAACTTCAGCTCCAGTGGTCCTTTGCAACAGAATTCTTAATTGCCGGTCTATCCTATTTTAGAAAAATAAGTTTCATCTCATCATCTGTGTCTATCTGTAACCTTCTCCCACTCTATCCCTTCCCTATACAAAAGTTAAGTTTGGGTTCAACCTCTTCAAGCATCTCTCTCAGCATGTCCTCTGCTTCATGAAGGTTTCCTGACTAATGAGAAGGAAGGTGCTAATGTATGAGCTAGATATACAACTTTCAGGCACACTCACTAGTTGCCATTTGACAAGATGATTTTTCTCCTGCTTATACTGCTTGTATTTTTCAAATGTCCACTTTCCATATGTTTGGCGACATGTCCTTGCATTACTCTCTGCATGACACATGTGTAATAGATGCTTTTGATTGCACGGCTAAGTCACACTTACTCTGGACCACCTTCCCAGGATGTCGAGAAGCTGGCGCTCCTGCTTTGCATATAAGCATGTGATTGAATTCTTCCTGAATGACCTAAAACTAAACACGTGTCAAGGACCTACAAACCAAAATCTCTGCCAAAATTCAAACAGCCACCTCAAAACTCACCTGAGGAGTCAAATATCTGGGAATAAGATTCTCTAAAAAGGGCCTTTTCAAAATGGAATTTATGGAGGGTCGGTCTCGAGGAGATATTTTAAAGAGCTGAGATATCAAGGAATGCAGGTTATGAGAAAACCTTGAAGATACTGGAGCAAAATGTGCTTGACAAATCTTGAGAACCAGCTGCTGTAAGTTGCTACTCTCAAACTGAAAAGAAAAGGAGAAATGATACTAAATCAGAGAAAAGTTACTAAAGTAACAAATCTTAAAAGTGTTAAAGTAACAAATATACCAAGAAGCAAAACAATGTTTTTAAATTGCAGAAACACTAAGCTCCTGGGAAATTCCAGTATTTTGGGAGGCTGAGGCAGGAGGATCACTTGAGCCCAGGAGTTCAAGACCAGCCTGGGAAACACAGTTAGATCTCATCTCTCCAAATCATGATTTTTAAAAATTTGCTGGGTATGGTGGTATAAGCCTGTGGTCCCAGCTACTTGGGAGGCTGAGGCAGGAGGATTATCTGAGCCCAGGAGGTCAAAGCTTCAGTGAGCCATGATCACACCATTGCACTCCAGCCTGGGTGACAGAGTGAGGCCCTGTGTCAATAAAAAAACAAACAAAAAAAAAGAACCACTATGGTCCACCCTAAATTGTTTTCATCAACTAATCTTCCATGAGCAGATACTGCAGTTACTCAATGGGATGCCATGTTACTTAAAACAAGTTCTTTTTTTTGTTTGTTTAATTTTGTCTTATTATCAAAATAATGTTACTCATAACAAAAACTGGAAGGTATAGGAAGTTCTAAAGTCATGGGAAAATATGTGTAATTTTACCACTCAGAAGTGTAGCTCCTTCTTATCTTTTTCAAAAATGATTTTTATTTTACAAACTTAAGGTCATACTGATATGAAATTTTATCTCTTGCTATTTAAAATTAGCATAAACATTTTTCATTTCCTCTAACATGCTTCATAAACCAGAGACTCTTCTATTGTATATACCCAATAGTTATTTATACATAATAATATTCAACAGCATGGTGTAGCAATAAAGGTACACGTTGGCCAGGCACAGTGGCTCATGCTTATAATCCCAGTATTTGGGAGGCAGAGGCAGGTGGATCACCTGAGGTCAGGAGTTTAAGACCAGCCTGGCCAACATGGCCAAAACCCATCTCTACTAAAAATACAAAAAAATTAGCCGAGCATGGTGGTGGGTACCTGCATAATCCCAGCTACTCAGGAGGCTGAGGCAGGAGAATTGCTTGAACCCAGGAGTCAGAAGTTGCAGTGAGCTGAGATCAGGCCACTGCACTCGTCTGGGCAACAGAGGGGGCTTTTTTCCAAAAAAAAAAAAAAAAAGAGGTACACGTTTTGGTCAGACACTGGCTGTGCAACCCTTGACAATAATTAATAAGAACAATAATAATGACAGTTGTGGAGACCCATTTAGATTAAGTAATCATACTGCTCCAGAAGAAGGTCTTCAGGACTCAAACCTTAGTTATAGATTAAAAGGAGTTAATCACTTATGTCCTTAAATGAATGCACTCTTATATGTAGAAATATACCTTAAAAGGTGTATAAGCTCAGAAAAACTTTGCAATTTTGAGTTGGTCTGGTGATAATTTCCAAACCTCCCTATAACTGGTTACAGAAATAAAAACTCACTTCCTTCCTACTTCATCTGCATCTCATTATTGGGACACAAGAAATAGCAGCCCAACCCTCAGTTTGGTCCAGGAACAATTTCACACATGAAGAAAATGAAATTACAAAAGTACCATAAGAAAGAGAGAAGAGATTTGAATTTTAGTTTCTGGAATCTTCATGCAGTGTCATCCATCAGATTTTACTGACACTTTTAAACTGAGAGTCAGCAACTTACGTTTTATTGTTGTAGGGCTTATTCTGACAGATCTCTGGGGACAGGTAGTAAGCTGTTCCAACAGAAGTTCGAGCAAGTTCCATGGAACTGGTAAATTATATTAAATAATAAATTAGCATTGTTTTTTAGTGGAGATGAAGTCTTAAGAGAAGTCTTAAGACATGGACATGCAAGAAGAATGCGAAAATGGATAACACAAGATTTGATGCATACAAATGTTAGAAGGAAGAAAAACACTGTATATTGATAAAGTAACAAAATCAGTTGATTTTTAAAATTACAATTCACCGCCGGGCACGGTGGCTCAAGCCTGTAATCCCAGCATTTTGGGAGGCCGAGACGGGTGGATCACGAGGTCAAGAGATCGAGACCATCCTGGTCAACATGGTGAAACTCCGTCTCTACTAAAAATACAAAAAAATTAGCTGGGCATGGTGGCGCGTGCCTGTAATCCCAGCTACTCAGGAGGCTGAGGCAGGAGAATTGCCTGAACCCGGGAGGCGGAGGTTGCGGTGAGCCAAGATCGCGCCATTGCACTCCAGTCTGGGTAACAAGGCCGAAACTCCGTCTCAAAAAAAAAAAAAAAAAAAAATTACAATTCACCTCCCAAAAAATTACACATTAAAACATATTTTTATGGCTTAAAGACTCCACAAAGAGATGAAATTGTCATGCTATAAAAATCTCTCAGATGTAAGAGATTAACTAATTGCAACCTCATGATTTAAAATTTAGAAAATACAAAAATGAATAATGGAAAAAAAGTTACCCAGAATCTTAGCACCCAAAACAACTATTGTTAAAATTCAGATATACTTCCTTCCTGTCTTTTTTTCCACCAATATTTTTTATATAACTGTGATCACAATGTATTTAAAATTCAGAATTCCATTTTCTTTATTTAGTATAACAAAGTTATCAAGAAGTCTTCAAAACCATAAGTTTTTTATGATATATTCAGGTACATGGCCATGCCAAGTTTTATTAAATTTAACCATTTTCCAATTATTTAGGCATTTACGTTATTCCAAATTTCAAACTATTCCCTTGGAACAAATTCCCAGAAATAGAACATTTAAAAATCTCTTAATATATATTGCCACCAAATTGTCTTCCCAACACGTGCACCAATTTATTGGCTAGAAAGTGTGTAAATCAAAAATAAAATTCTAAGCTCCCCAAACAACTCATGGACCCTTTGGCCAAGGACATTTCAAAGTTAACCTGAAAAACTAGTTCAGGCCATGATGGGAAGCAGGGTCGGACATGCCTCATTATTTTCTCCTCCCTTTTGGAATTCAGGCACAGTTGACCAGCATTAACATTAAACAGACCTTAAGACTGACAAAGCAGACTCTTTGTAGCAATAAGATACCAAAGTCCAGCCTGACCCTAGCATAACATCACATGACAGATAGAAGGCCTGAAATAAATTAAATATTTTACTCCACATCATGTTTCTTTGCCCATATCTTGAAATAGTCCTGCAAAGCTTCCTCTTACAGGGAAAATCTACATTCTGAAGAAAATCCCCTTCTTTTCCAAGTCTTTTTCATGATCCAGGAGAAAATTAACTAAGAGTCTGGCACCTTTTTAAGACTGATAAGAAACATTTACAATCTATTCTCTCTGAGGCCTGCTACTTGGAGATTTCATCTGCATAACAAAAACCTTGGTTTCCACAACCCCTTATCTTAACCCACACACTTCCTTCCATTGATTTCAGGTCTCTAGATAAGCTCTTTCAACCAACTGTAAATCAGAATAGTTTTTAATCCATCTATGACCTGGAAGCTCCCTCCCATTCCTCCCAGCTTTGAGTTGTCCTGCATTTCTGGACCAAACCCATGTACATCTTATTGATGTCTTGTGTCTCCCTAAAATGTACAAAACCAAGCTGTAGCCCAGCCACCTTGGGCACATGTTCTCAGGCATGGGCCTTTGGTCACTCGTATTTGGCTCAGAACAAATTTCAAATATTTTACAGAGTTTGACTTTTTTCATTAAGAAGTGTAAACCTGCCTGTTTGACTAAATTCTCACTAGCTTTATGCGTATTAGTCACATCCCATAGTTGATAAACTGGAATCACACTACAGAATATTAGCAACATCATTCTATTATGCCACAATTTATCTTGAGAATTTTAATCTCAAAGTACCATCTGACTGATTTAATGCACTGCCATAAAGCTACCTAAAATTATTTGGACAACCAGGATTTTAATATATTCTTAATCCATGATACCTAAAAATACATACTTGGGCTATTTTGAATAGAAAAAAAAATTATTTTCAAAGTACTTACTTATTCAGGACTCTTGCTATACCAAAGTCCCCAAGCTTTGCAACCATTCCATTCTTGCTAAGAAAAATGTTCTATAAATGGAGAAAATGTCATGTTGTTTGAGGCACTTCAAGAAAAGATCAGAGTTCTCTCTTAGTCTTCTCTCAGAGCTGTTACCTGAGTTTTTATGTCCATGTCCCTGTGTAATATCTTCCTGTCATGAATATGTTTTAGTCCTAGAGAAATCTGTACAAACCAACTGAGGATCTATAGAGAGAACACAAAACAAAGCCACTGAATAGCCTGGTAGTCACTAAAGTGTCTTCATGATAACATGCAAAAAGAACGAAAGAAGTTATACACATACACATACACACATAGTGTATCTGTATTTATAGGAATGAAGTTAATAGATACACTTTATAATATTACTATTTTCATTTTACAACCAGAAAAATGAAGGCACAGAAAATAATCCAAATATCACTGGTATCAAGGGAAATTCCACATGCAAAAAATGATGAGTAGAAGCAAGGGAAAGAGGCATGCCATTCATGATTTTCTTCTTTTCTTACTTAACCCTGGGATGCTAATTGCATCGGGAATAGTACACAGCAGCCCTGTTTCCTGATAACCTGGGCACCACTGGTTCTTCCTTTACGGTGGAAGGAGGTAGGGAGAGAAGGAGGAAGAAATGTGGGATCTGTGAGGTTATTAGGAATTGTAATGAAAAGTCTATATATCTAATATAAAACCAATAAATACTTTACTTTTAAAGTTTAATTTTATTTCTAAGTCATGATTTTATTTTATCTTTGTTGGCCATGAGCCTCTTTATGAAAATATGTCCTATGCCTATAGAGATTTATTTAAACTATTCTAAAATTTCACTGGTTCTTTGTCTGCCAAATTACACAGAAAGAGGAAAATAATAGGAATAAAGCTATATTCTAGACATTAATCTTCAGTTGTAATTTTAGTTCATTCCTAACAAAAAGAAAGATAACTAAAAATTTTGTCATGAGAAGCATTTTTATAAAATGTGGCAAAATAATACCTAGATAAGAAAGGACAGCTTCTATGACTATGGAATTTAATATACAATATAAATGAGCATACAAAGAATGCTTGATTAATGTTACAGAGAGTAGAGATATTGATTCTTTAATCCTTCATATATTCAAAATATTCAACTTTAAGTGGAAATTATATGGGCATGACGCTCTTACATGCTAAACTAGAACAAAGAAACAAATGGCCAAAGGAAAGATGGCAGGCCTTTCTGTGTGCTGCTTGAGGCAATGGCCTTACCATCAATCACACAGGCACTAATTCAGATTCCTCTCCACACACACAAACCTGTCTCCTTTATGAGTACCACTCCCAAGAAAGTTCCAAAGAGGCTTGGAGAATAGAAGAGAAATATGTTTATGCAAAGAGAAAGTAGGAATTGAGGCCATTATTCTTCATTTTTGTCTCCCCCTCTTAATAACCAGTGAAACTAAATAGGCATGGCTAAGACAAGCTTCTATCCTCACTAGCAAAGTGGGATATCTATTTTAAAACAGAGTACCAAATTGTTAAAGAGAAAACAGTGAAGCTATAAATATGTCATATGTTAAATGGCTAAGGAACACTCACATTCAGATTTGGTTTTTAATCATGAAGTTTTATCTCAGATGCATCATACATGAGATTGTCCAAACAGACTACCTTTTCTCAAGAAAATCTCACTCTCTAAAAAACAATTCAGTTTAGGTTCAACTGGAAACTTGTTCTGGACTGAATCTACCAAGAACATTGATCCACTATTTTATGGTTTGAATTTCTCTACCAAAACACATGCTTTATAACAACATAGTCTACTTATGACATTACAGGTTTAATTCTCCCCCCGCCACACATACATAAAATTAAAAAGCAAATTCAAAGTTTTTACCTGATCTTCACTAAATAACACACCCCGTTGTCTACTGATCCTTTTCATGAGATCCCCTCCATCACAATATTCCATCACAATAAACAGCCTGCCATTCTCTGTAAGAAAAGAAATCATTTGGTGCTGGAAGGATTTCAGATATTTATCATCATGTCATGTTCTGGCTGTGGAATCAAGATGGACTGGGTTCTAATCCCACTATGCCATTTCTATTTCTTAGCTCTGTGACTCTGGACAAGTCACTTTAATTTCTCTTTGCCACATTACCTCATCTGTAAAATGGAAATAATAGTATAGAAATTTCTTCTTTGGATTGCTGGAAAGATTGAAAGAATTAATCCATGTCAGATGCTTAAAGCAATGCCTGCACATAATAAGAGTTTAAGAAATGTTGGCTACTTTTATTAATACATTCATTTGAGAGATTAGAAATCTGCTGTAAAAATAGCAGCTGTGACTCTTTCATAACACCCTGGGAAGAATTAACAGCCTCTTCTTGAATTTGGGCATAATGCCATGCTTATATGGCACTTATTCAACTACATTGTTGAATACAATAGAAACTCTTATAACTGACCTCTGCCTAAACCACTCACTAGATTACAGGACGTTCTCCATTGCTATTGCCCCATCCAGGTTATCACTAGGCTGCAAGGCTCTCTAGTATGTCCAAGTACCTCTGCTCCTACCAGTTAAACTGAATCCTACCAAGATCATTGTGTTTTTTCCCAATATGTTTATACCATTTATTCTTGTCATTGTAACATAAACTGATGAAATACGAATAGAAAATGAAAGATGTGATTATTTTCCAAGAGCTATGCTGAATATTTTGGAGGACTCAGTAAAAGTGAGTAGTTTAAAAAAAAATAGCTATTGACCTAAATGTTGAATGGGATGAATGAAATACAACTGGAAAACTTCTAAAAGGATTATGGACAGATTATCCACAAATACTTGCTCCATATTAAAGAAAAGAAACTATCCTTTGACAAATGCTTATAATTTCCTTCGATTTTCTTTTCTTTTTTTTCCCAGCCATTTCCACTCAAAGGATAATTATGTCTTCTTATGTTAAAATATGTTTGTATAATTGCTATGGTCTAAATGTCTTTGTCTTCCCCAAATTTATATGTTGAAATTCTAACCCCCATGATGATGGTATTAGGAAGTGTAGGGCTTTTGGAAGGTGACTAGGTACTTGAACATACTAGAGAGGCCTGTAGTGACTAGACATAACCTGGAGCCTCTTGAATAGAATGGTGTCCAAGAGAGACCCTCTCCCCTTCCATGTAAAGACAAAAAGAGACAAGCCATCAATGAACCAGAAAGTGAATCCTCACCAGACACTGAATCTGCCTGCACCTTGATGTTGTACTTCCCAGCCACCAGAACTGTGAGAAATAAGTTTCTGTTGTTTATAAGCCACCCAGTTTATGGCATTTGTTATAGCTGCTGGAATAGACTAAAAGAGATGATTTTCTGCTTTAACCAGCTTTTTTCATTAGCCAACCAACCACCAGCTGGGATCTTGTTAAAAAACAAGGACTTCTACTAACTTGTTTGTCCACACTTCATTCTTTTGTACCCAAAACAGAAGTTAGCACATCAAAGGGGCCTAAATGTCTGTTGAGTGGATTAAAATAACAAAAAACAAAACACAAAACAGACACGACAAAGTCGGGCTTATAAGCAATTGTTAATTCTTCTAACATTTTCCTCTGTAGTATCCACTAAATGCCAGAATCTCTTACCAAATAGCTATCTTTTGGTAGCCTACTCTTTAAAACCTAAACCAACTTTCCCGTGGATATCAGCAACCTGGCAGCATCTACCCTTGGTTGGTTCTAATTTGCAAAACATGCATCTTCTTTCACATATTTCAATTTTTCCACGTCTCTTCTTTAAGACACAGATCCATTCATTTATTAACAAACTTCTATTGAGGACATGCAAAAACAAGGAATGCTGTGTAGGAATAAAAAGCAAAGAAGCCATCCATCCTACTGTTAAGGAGGCAAAGTCTAGCTGGGGCTCCCTCAGCACTGGGTGAGGATTGTTGCGAAGAAGTCTGCAGGCTGGAGGGTGAGGAGAAAGTGCATGCAAGTCAGACTGGAGATCCAGGAAGGGTTCTAAGAAGATGCTTCCTGATATGCCCTAATATCTAGAGATCACTTATTTTCAGGAATGTGTTAGTTTTAGGAGAACTGATGTTTCTTATCACTGAAGCTCAGTCATTAAAAGTCTGCCACAGCAATGAAGGGATGGCAATTTCAAAACCATGCAAGAATCAGAATAATGAGACAGAAGAGAAAGGATTTCATCTCATTTCCTTTTCATCAACCTCCAGCTTACTCAACCTTACACTGGCTTTTGGTGAAAGAAACTGACTGACTCAAGATTTGTCATGACAGAGCCATCTTAAAGAAACTACTGGCTTAGCCCGTAATCCCAGCACTTTGGGAGGCCAAGGTGGGTGGATCAGTTGAAGTCAGGAATTTGACACCAGCCTGGCCAACACAGTGAAACCCCCTTCTCTACTAAAAATACAAAAATTAACCAGGCGAGGTGGTGTGCGCCTGTAATCCCAGCTATTTAGGAGGCTAAGGCATGAGAACTACTCGAACCTGGGTGGTGGAGGTGCAAGATTGCACCACTGCACTCCAGTGTGGGCGTGTCAAAAAAAAAAAAAAAGAAAAAGAAAAAAACAACTTATGTCAATTAGCATTATCTGGCTGTAAAATAAGTATTTTATCCATTAGCCACTGTTAATTTTATATGTATTGGAAGTATCTGGAAAAATGATTTATGCTCTCAAATTTTCCATCTGCTTAAAAAGTAAGCACTGAAGGAGGGAATAAAAGGTATAACAAATAATTCTTCTTCTCAAGGAACTTCCAATCTCATTGAGGGAAACAAAGAATACATATTAACATAATAATACAGTATACTATAAATGTCATGTGAATGTATGATAAGGCCAGTAAGAGTTTAGAGGCGCTCAGAGCAGAGGTGAGAGAGATCACTTTAGATTTATGAGGTGGGATGTGTTTACTCCTAAAGGATGTATAATATTTGATAATTAAAAAAAACAAAAAAGGATACCCCAGAAAGAGAAAGCAAGGTCCACTATAGGCCGGTAGTTTCTGGACCTGTAAAGCCCATGTATCATTGACCTCTCAAAACAATTGAGGGTACTAAATAACCTTTTTTTTTTTTTTGAGACAGAGTCTCACTCTGTTGTCCAGGCTGGTGTCAGTGGTGTCATCTCTGCTCACTGTGACCTCCACCTCCCAGGTTGAAGTGATTCTCCTGCCTCAGCCTCCCAAGTAGCTGGGACTACAGGCATGCTCCACCACGCCTGGCTAATTTTTGTATTTTTGTAGTATGGGGTTTCACCATATTGGTCAGGCTGTTCTCAAAACTCCTGACCTCATGATCCACCCACTTTGGCCTCCCAAAGTGCTGGGATCACAGGTGTGAGCCACCACACCTGGCTAACCTTTTCATTTGTCAAGTTCCAACATTTATTAAACAATTATTATAACTCATTCTAAAATGCACATTAAAAAAAATCAAAGGCCTGGCACAGTGGCTCTTGCCAATAATCCCAGCACTTTGGGAGGCCAAGGTTATGGCAGGTGGATTGCTTGAACTCAGGCGTTTGAGACGAGCCTGGGGAACATGGTGAAACCCTGGCTCTATAAAGAAAAAAAACTACTAAAATTAGCCGGGTGTGGTGGTGCATGCCTGTAGTCATAGTACTCAGGAAACTGAGGTGGGAGATCACTTAAGCCCAGAAGTTCAAGGCTGCAGTGAGCTGTAATCACACCACTGCACTCCAGCCTAGGCAACAGAGTGAGACCCTATCTCAAAACAAACAAACAAACAAACAAAATCAAGATTGTTTCTTACAAACATTGGCATCTTCCAATCAATTGCTATAGACCCAGCAGGCTGGATGGGTCTGCATAATTTTGGAATTCACTGCCTGCATAATTTTTGGAATATCTTAACCAACTTTGTTTGCTTATATATATATTTTTTATGTGTGTGCAAGAGTAATATAAAATAAAACTCTGTGAATAAACAAATGTGAAAAAGCTCTTTCTGGCCAGGCTCAGTGCTTCCAGCACTTTGGGAGGCCACAGCTAGATCACTTGAGGGGGAGTTCAAGGCTGCAGTGAGCCATGATCCAATTACCTCAACTGTAAGTAAATGAAATCTGTAACAACCTAGATGAGCCTGGAAGAGGACCATGAGTCACAGGTAATAGTCCCAGCTGACACCTTGATTTCAACTAGGTGAGACTCTGGGCAGAGACTCCAGCTAAGCCAACGTCAGGCTTCTGACCTACAGAAATCAAGAGATAATAAATAGGTGTTGTTTTTAAGCCACTACATTTGTGTTCATTTGCTATGTAGTAATAGAAAACAAATACAATAGTGTGGGGATTTTTGCCTATTTTGTTTGCTGATATGTTTCCAAGACCTAGAACATGCCTGGCATATAACAGACACTTAATGAATGTTTATTGACGAAATTTAAATGGAATTAATTTAGTCTTAGGAAAATACCACTACATTCTCATTATTTTTCCTATGTGTCTTCAAACCAATAAAAACATCCTATTTTCTACAGACAAACATTAGTGCCATGATTGTTATGATCAGAGAGAGATAAGCCATCTGCAGGTAAACAAGCCGTTACCTATACTTTCTAAAAGACATTTTTTGAAAGCCTCTGAGGCTTTCAAATAAGCTCAGTGGTTCAAGTCCCAGCAATCTGCCAAGCAAACTCAAAGGCATCACAATAGCTCTAGATTTCCTAAACACAGAGGTGCTCTACTTAAAAAGAATCATAAGAAAATGTAAACTTGTAGTATCAACAAACATAGCAGAGGTTATTTATACCGTAAAAATGATCTTAGTTTTGCAAAAGCTTCCAGTAGCAAACCGTCCTCAAAAATCGATCTCACATGGTATAAGGAAATACTTCAGTCTTTAAAAGTGGTCCAGTCCATTCGCTCATTCGGTAGGCATGTATTGAGCAGCCAGTGCGTGCTAGATGCCAAGGATCAAGTGCTGAGTAAAACAGATGGAGTCCCCAAATTCATTAAGTTTACTATGTAAAGGGAGACAACTATGAAACAAATTCAAACTTATATAAATAGATATACATAAGTACAACTGCTGTGGAAGAGAAGCAAAGGGAGCTGTAATTTGAATTGTGGGTTCAGAAAAGGCTTGAAGATGAGTAGGAGTTAGCCAGAGTCACAGTAATAACCTAAAAAATAAAAAATAAAGAAGAAGGCCAGGCGCAGTGACTCACGTCTGTGATCCCAGCACTTTAGGATGCTGAGGTGAGTGGATCACCTGAGGTCAGGAGTTTGAGACCAGCCTGGCCAACATGGTGAAACTCCATCTCTACTAAAAATACAAAAATTAGCCAGGCACAGTGGTAGGTACCTATAATCCCAGCTAATTGGGAGGCTGAGATAGGAGAATCGCTTGAACCCAGGAGGCGGAGGTTGCAGTAAGCCAAGATCTTACCACTGCACTCCAGCCTGGGAAACAAAGAGCGAAATTCTGTTTCAGAAATAAATAAATAAAAATAAAGAAGAGAAAGATCATCTTATAGCATTATCAACAATCAATGGATAGGAATGCAGGCACTTTATTCAGTGGCTCTTCTTGAAAGTTATTCCATGTAACCCAATTCCAGACCATGTGTACTGCTCTGCTCCCAGGAAGACCTCATAAGAGTCCCTCCCAAGAGCTCTTTTAAATACCCAGAAGCCAAAGAAGGGTCATACACACAGAACTACTTTGAATGCAGTGGTTTTAATCAGTAAGGAACACAGTGCCCTGCACAGTGTACAAGCTTGAGACACAGTGGCTGTAGTTATTTATTTACTAACTTTTACCCCACTGATGATGCTTGAAGATACTGAGGTTAACACTTCTGCTCCATGAACTACTTACCACTCTTAAAACAGCCCCGTGCTGGGGGCTGGACTGGGGAATGACCCCTCATAAAACTGTCAGCACATACAGCCCTGTCACATCTTAAGACATACCTGACATACTGTATATCTTTTTATTGTCTATCTCTTCCCAGTAGAATATAAACTTCATGAAAACAGGGATTTTCATCTGCTTTGTTCACTGCTATATTCCTGACACCTAGAACAATGTCTGGCATATAGTAAGCACACAGTAAGTATCAGTTCAGTGAAGGAATGCTGTCTGACCAATGCCCCTTCATATATTATTAATTTTTTACCTTGGACTAGAGTGATGGTGGAGGCGAATTGTATTCAGGTGTACAGAGGAAGAGAATTCCTTCCCTAAAGTTCTCCCCCTCTATGAGGCAGTGTACCAAGCTATGGTGTGTGGCTGTTTGCTGGCTCTCTGTAAGAGGATTACACAGCCCCATCTGTTGCCTAAGGATATGCAGGATTTCATGTAAGCAGAGTACCCCTTAACACACATACGCATGCCTGCATGCGCCCGCACACGCGCGCGCACACACACACACACACACACACACACACACACACACACACCGCAGCAGGGCTTTGAGAGCGATAGTGTGATGGGCTCTGTGTCTTCCTCTCTTCTCTTGCTTAAGAGAATAGCTAACTCCCTATCTGAGCTGCTCCTTCAGCCCAGACCCCAGACTCCAGACCCCAGACTCCAGACCCCTGCCCACCATAGCTAGCATGTAATGTAAATGAGAAATGGGTGTGTATTATTGTTAGTCAGTTACATTTGGATGTTGTTACTACAGCAAAGAAGCTAATAAACTGTCATTAACTTTTTGGGAGAGTGAGAATTAAGGATAGGCAGAAAAACAAGAAAACATAAGAAAGCTGTCTATAAAAACTTAAGAGGAAATAACAAGGATGTCTCAAACTGCAAATTGAGTAAATGGGGAAATGACACATTTACAAAAATTAATTTATACTTAGTCCTTAGGAACAAATCTTTTTACATATGTCCACATGCCTATGCTTTATAAATATACATAAAGAATATTAGAAAAATCAAACCTTGAAATGAATTGAAGAAGGCTACAATGTTGGGATGTTTCATCTTTGCCAGAAGAATGACTTCTTTCTTTGAAGCTTCTTTTTCTTGTACGGGCATCTAAATTACATTAAGAGACAGAGTAGTCTATAGAGGTAACTTGGTTTCAAGAACATGCTTTCTGCTCGTTTCCATCTGAAATTCTCTAGAATGTCACTGGCTTTTTAATGTCACTTTGAAAATGATCTTTCAATGGCAGGAAACATTTCTAGAATTAGCAGAGTACCCTATATCTAATCAATGGTTCATCAACAATCATCATCAAGAAAATAAATACTTCCGGTGAAGTTTTGCTATATTAAAAGTTGGACTGGTGGTACTGTGTTCATTATCTAGCCATATGGAGGAAAGGTATTTTAATATCTATCTTTCAGGAGCAACAAAATTCTTTATAAAAATGCAACATTCCAGGAGTAATCACTGCTGAGAAGAAACAAATGTAATCTAAAAAAAGAAAATGTGTCATATGCCAGATTTTTATATATCATATGCCTGTTTTTATACAGAAACCGGACCAGTAAAATTTTGTATTAAGATGACTACATTTTTCAATTTCAAATAGAAATTGTCTTGTGTGGCTTCACTTTAGATGTATCTAGCTGTTCTTTCTTGTTCTACTTCTCATCTATAGACGATACTTTTCAAGGGGTGCGGTGCCAGTACCAGTGGTCACGCCTCATTTCTACTTTTTCTTTCTCACTCTTGATGCTTTGCTGACTTGTCATTTCTACACTGACTTCCAGCCCCTGACTGCCCCTCCTTTCTGGTGTCCATGGGACCTCCACCCATTGGAAGTCTTCAACATTGGCCAAATTTCACATTCTCATTTAGACTTAAGAATTTTTTTTTTTAAATTAATGTTCTCAATTCTAGCTTCACTGCATCCCAGCTGAAGGATCCTTCAGTAAGTTCCTTAACCTCTCTAAGCTTCAGTGTTTCCTGCCCCAATTTAAATTGTATAGTCAGTACATAGGCGTTTCAAAACAAAACAGCTGAATTACTCCTACCAGCTGGATAGATTTAGCAACTTAAAAAATTCCTAACTACTATTTATTCAAAAGAATATTATAAACAAAATTAAAATGCAAACAAATGGTTAGGCTACAATATTTGTAACACATATGACAAAGATTTTATATTTATAATAATATATAAATTGATGGCAAATAATTTTAAAAAGGTAAATACCCCAATAGAAAAAGAGCAAAGTACAAGAACAGTCAACTCGAAAAAAACAAGAGAAATAAAAATGGCTGATAGAAAAAATATCCAACCTCATGCAGTAATCAAAGAAATAAAAACTAAAACAAAATATGGCCAGATGTGGTGGCTCATGCCTGTAATCCCAACACTTTGGGAAGCCAAATGAGGCATGCAGACCACTTGAGGCCAGGAGTTCAAGACCAGCCTAGCCAACATGGCAAAACCCCATCTCTACTAAAAATACGAAAAAGTAGCCAGGCATGGTGGCACACACCTGTGGTCCCAGCTACTCAGGAGGCTGAGGCAGGAGAATCAGAGTCTCTTGAACCTGGGAGGTGGAGGCTGCAGTAAGCCAAAATCATGCCACTGCACTCCAGCATCTCAAAAAAAAAAAAAAAAAAGGGAATAAAAACTAAAACAAAATGTAATATAATATTTCATGTATGAAATTGGCAAAGATGAGAAGAATGTCAATAGCCACTATTGGCCAGAAAGTAGCAAAATGGACACTCACTTATTTCTGGTAAAACTACACAAATTGACAAAATCTTTCGGGGAAAGCAATTTTACAATACATAATACGAACCTTTAAAATGTTCATTTTTGGGGGGGGTCTGCATCCTGTTGAAGAAATGTTCCTTTTTCTAAGACAAGCTCTTGCTCTATCACCCAGGGTGGAGTGCTCAGGCACGATCTTAGCTCACTGTTACCTCCGCTCTTTGAGCTCAAGTGATCCTCCCACTTCACCCTCCTGAATAGGTGGGACCACAGGCAAGCACCACCATACCCCGCTAATTTTTTGTATTTTTAGTAGAGAGGGGTCTCACCATGTTGCCCAGCCTGGTTTTGAACTCCTAGCCTCAAGTGATCCAGCTGCCTCAACCTCCCCAAGTGCTGGGATTGCAGGCATGAGTGAAATGTTTCTATTTTTGACTTACTAATTCTTCTAGAAACTTATTCAAAGAAGATAATAAAAAGCGTACAGAAGCGTTCTCATACAAAAGCCTTTGTTGCAGTGTTTTATTGCTAGTTTTTAAGTTACCCTAATAATGTGTACTTGTTTTAAGTCAAATAGAAGTGAATAAGGTAAAAGTGAAACTTCCTTCCCTCTTTCTCATCTAGCCCATAGATGAAAGTCCATAGGTGGTAACCTCACTCTGAACGGCAAAAATGCAGTTACTTTTGCGTCAACCTAATACTATATTCCCTAGGGACAACTGTTGTTAATAGTTGGAGCTTTTTATTTCATGCATATGTAGGTAAGTATATATATATAGTATTGTTTAATAAAAATGAATCATACTTTACATATTAAATATTACTGAATCATAGCCAAGAAAAACAACCAACAATATAATTATCTGAAAATAGAAAAAGAGTTAAATAAATTGCAGGGATTGTTTTGCTGGCTTTTTTTTTTCTTAAGACAGAGTTCTGTTATGTTGTCTAAGCTGGATTTGAACTCCTGGGGTCAAGGGATCCTCCCCACTCTTCCTCTGGAATAGCTAGGACTACGGGCACTTGCATGCCCAGCTAAATCATGGTAGTTTTAACCTGCTACCATACTATGCAGTCATTAAAAATCAAGGGAGGTAATGTGTTAGTGTGGAAAGAGCAGAGAAAGACTTAGATGGATCTGCTGATGACTGTGCATCCTGGAGCTAACTGCTTAACCTCTTTAGCCTCAGCCCTTTCACCTGTACAGTGAGAGTAATGAGAGCTACGTTTTAGGGTGGTTGTGAGGATTACATTGAGTTGCTATATATGAAACACCCAGGATGGTGTGACATATAATGGACACCCTGGAAGGTGGTCCCTTTATCATTAGTGTGAACATTTAATATCATTATATGACAACATTTTGTTACATAAAAATATTGAATGACATGAGGAAATATTCATGATATATTCCTAATGTAAAATACTATTGAAAAAAAGTATATCTAGGCAGGGTGTGGTGGCTCACATCTATAATCCCAGTGTTTTGGGAGGCCAAGGCGGGAGGATCACAGGTCAGGAGTTTAAGACCAGCCTAGCCAACATATTGAAACCCTGTCTCTAGTAAAATACAAAAATTAGCCAGTCATGGTGGTGCACACCTGTAGTCCTACTCTGGAGGCTGAGGCAGGAGAATCATTTGAACCTGAGAGGCAGAGGTTGCAGTGGGCTGAGATCACATCAGTGCACTCTGGCCTGTGTGACACAACAAACTCCATCTCAAAAAAAAAGAGTATATCCACCATGACATCAATCATTCTAATAACTTATAAAGTATACTATACATAATAAATAGTCTACAGAGAAATTCAGGAAAATGTTCATAGCGATTAAGAAAGAGGTTATACACTATTTTTATTTTTCTCTGGTCTTTGGTTGTTTTCAAAATTTCTACAATGAACATTTTTATTTTCATAATCAAGGAAAGATAAAACACTTTGATTTGAGCCCAGAAGGAAAAGAACATGCTTGATAATGTAGGATGATGAGAGAAAACATTATCTTTTTGGTACATGTAAGAAAATAAGCAATTTAGTTATTGGGTCTAGTGTAGAAAGTAGGGGGGCATTAGAGAAAAGAAATATACATTTATTTAGATAAGAAGTAATGAAAAACTTCATGAGAGTATATAGGAAGAAAGAAGTAATAAATATTACTGTTGTGACACATGTTATTGGCAAATTTGATAACAAAGATATGGAAAAACAAGAATAACGAGGGCTAACATGAGATTCTACTTATTTATGGCATGGTGACAAGAGTAGTTCATGAGGAAAGTTATTTAAAAAATTGGTGCTCTATTAGAAAAATATAGTCAATTTTTGATTATACTAAAGAATAGGAGAGATGCTATGAAATGAAGTAATGTGTATTTTCATAGTTTCTCTTTACAAAGAATTAAAATGGGTTTATAATTCCTAAGTATATACCAGCTTCACAATAGAGCAAGAGGGCCTGAAAGCATCTGTCCAGTGAATCATCTATCCAATAAGAATTTACTGAATATCGACTGCACCAAGCATTAGTATTAGGTGCTGTGTGGAATACCAGCACGAATCGCACATGGACTCTGCCCTCACAGAACATGTTCCAGCTAAATAACAAGGAGAAGGCATAAAATAAACAGACAAAGCATGTCCAGAAAGAAAGCAGTCAGGACTCTAACAGAGGTTCCAATAAAAATTATGCAGGTTTACAGAGAAGGAGAAATTCTTTAGAGTGGGAGGATTCTCGAGATATGGTGAAACTCAGCCTTGAACAAGTGGAATCTTGATGCTGGGAGGTCCGCAGGAAGGGACCTTGGGAGAAGCAGCCCCGTAAGCAAATGCAGAGGCTGGAGCGTGGGAAAAAAAAGTAGGGTATGTAATGGGAGCTGTAATTTTGGAGCAAGTCAGAGAGGATCTCAAACTTCTCTGAAGAATGAAACAATATAAAAGCACAAGGCAGGCCAGGCACAGTGGCTCATAACTGTAATCCCAGCACTTTGGGAGGCCAAAGCAGGAGGATCACTTGAGGCCAGCCTGGGCAACATAGCAAGATCTTGTCTCTAAAAAAAATTAAAAATTAGCTGGGTGTGGTGGCGCATGCCTGGAGTCCTATCTACTCAGGAGGCTGAGGCAGGAGGATGGCTCGTTCAAGGTTACAGTGAGCTATGATGATGCCACTGCACTGCTGCCTGGGCCACAGAATGAAACTGTCTCAAAAAAATGTACAAGGTAAACGCCACTTTCTTTCTCAATAATAACAATCTGGTGTGTCTTTTTTCTTTGTACCTATATAAACATATTTATAGGTATACATATACATGGAGAATATATATATATTTTTACAAAGATTCTATCACCCTATACTTACTATTTTCTCAAACACTGCAGACATTGAAATTTTCCCATGTCAGCTTCACCTAAAACATGACTGCTAACAGCCACTTAGTTTTTTATAAATTACTTAACAAATTACCTACTGTTGGACATTTGTTTTCTAACTGTTAATGGGGTTTTCCTTTGAATAAGCTCCTAATTTCTTAGTTTTCTAATGAGTTTCAAATTTTTGTATGATGACTTCATATACGGATTTTATCTTTTTATTGATTTACTAAAAGGCTAACACCATTAAGTCAATACTTGGGCACCTTTTCAGTTTTCTTTTAATTTATTTATAGTGTTTGTTTTGACATACAAACATTTTCTAATTTATGTAGTCAAACCTAGGCAACTCTTCCTCTACAGCCTCTGTCCCAGTGAAGGTTTAGGGGCATGGCTGGGGCATTGTCAAAATTGGGCTGGAGCCATGAGAAAGTGACTGAAGGATCCAAGTGACCCAAGGCATCGACAAAAGGACTGCAGCAACTTCAGGGTAGAGAAAGAGTCAACAGCATTCAGCAAATGACTGAATGTGGAGAGGGAATAAGCTCACATATGACCCCAAGGTTTTGAGCCTGGCTACCATAAACACATTGTTGACATTACCACAGCGCAGCACATAGGAGGTGAAGTGGGTCTGCTTACAACAATGAAGAATTGCTAGTAATACTTGTTTCGGGGTACAATTGTGATACCTAGCCTCCAATGTGGTCTCAGTGATTGTCATCCTAAATTCTTGATGCACAAGATGATGCACAAGATCTCCGAGGTAACAAATGTTTATTCTTTAAGCCACTAAGTTTGGAGTAATATGCTACACAGCAATAGAATACTAACACAGACATTACCTAAAATTATCTAGCTGGCAGAAGAAATGCAGAACTAGGGCACTGAAAGATGTCAGGGGTAGAGACAGAGACTTAGCAGTGATCTGCTTAGTGGTAAACACTGAAGTGGGGCAGTTTAGGTGACAATGTACAGAAAGAGAAGGTCAGGAAAGGACATATCGTTGGAGACACACAAAGGTTGAATAGAGAGATAAGCCTAAGGAGGAGCAGTCAGATAAACAAAAGAGAGTGAGCAGAATAATGTCAGGTAAGGAAGCTATGGCGAGCCACTAGAATAAGAGGACATTATTATGAACATGCCATGGATTCACAAAAAGATGGACTGGGCACAGTGGCTCACGTCTGTAATCCTAGCGCTTTGGGAGGCCAAGGCAGGCAGATCACAAGGTCAAGAAATCAAGACCATCTGGCCAACATGATGAAACCACATCTCTACTAAAAATACAAAAATTAGCCGATGTGGTGGAGCGCACCTATAGTTCCAGCTACTCAGGAGGCTGAGGCAGAAGAATCGCTTGGACTGGGGAGGCAGAGGTTGCAGTGAGCCACTGAGATTGTGCCACTGAACTCAAGCCTGCCACAGAGCGACACTCCATCTCAAAAGAAAAAAAAAATTAGACCTATTTTGGGAAATAAATTATTATCCCTGGAAGCCAGTCATCTACCCATGAACTTTAAGTTTGGGTAGGATTTCTTACAATTTTTTTTGTGGTAAAATAAAATTTATATCATTTTAACCATTTTTAAGTGCACAATTCAATGGCATTAAGTATATTCACATGGTGTAACTTGGGTACATTTTGCACACACTCTATGGAACTTTTTATGTTACTCTCATTTATAAATTCTCTAGAATCTGACCAACAAGACTTGCCTTAAAATTAATTCTAAAAACAATTTATTTGTTATGTAACAATATATTTTGAAATGAACATATCACTAAAGAGGGTGACATAAACACTGACTAAGGTGGAGTTAGCAAAAATGATTAATTTTTAATTAGCTATATTTATTTTCCAAAATCATTAGACAAAAAGTTACATGTGATTTTCCTCTATTCATTCAGTGCACTCAACAAATTTGTTTAGTACCTATTATGTGTCAGGAACTGTTCTGCATACTGAGGAAGACAAATAATAAACAAGTGAATAAGTAAAACTGCAAAGTAACTGCAGAGCATTATACATGCTAGTAAGAAAATAAAACAGGCCAGCAGCAGTGGCTCATGCCTTTAATCCCAGCACTTTGGGAGGCCAAGGCAGGCAGATCACTTGAGCTCAGGAGTTCAAGACCAGCCTGAGCAACATGGTGAAACCCCCATATCTACTAAAAATACAAAAAATTAGCCAGGCATGGTGGCATGCACCTGTAGTCCCAGAGACTCAGGAAGCTAAGGTGGGAGAATTGCTTGAATCCCAGAGCTGGAGGTTGCAGTGAGCAGAGATCATGCTACTGTACTCCAGCCTGGGTGACAGACAGAGATTCTATCTTAAAAAAAAAAAAGAAAAAGAAAAAGAAAAAAAACCAGGGTAGTGGATAGGTGATGAGGTGTGACTGTGGTTGAGGGGGCTACCCTAGCTAGGATGTTTGCAGAAAATACTTTGTAGAGGACCTGAATAAGGGGAGAGGAAGTGCACCAGAGAAGCTGGGGCAACAAAGGAGGGTGGCATCTCACAAGGCCTTGCAGGGCACCCTAAGGAGGGTCATAGGAGCCACAGAGATGTGATCTTATTTTCTATTTTCATTAAAAAAATTTTTTTTGGGGTAGGGTCGGGGTCTTGCTATGTTGCCCAGGCTATCTGAAACTCTTGGCTTCACACAATCCTCCCACCTTGGCCATCCAAAGTGCTGGGATTACAGGGCGGGCCACTGCATCCAGCCTCTTTTTAAAAATAAGATCATTGGTTGCTGTTTGGACAATGGACTTAGGAGGCTGAATTAACAAAAATCAATTATGGCTTAAAATTTGTAATTATAAAAAGATACAAACTCCCTGTTTATATTGGATTAAAAGCCAGCTGAATATCCCACTGAAAATTGACAGAAATTTGAACTTCTTAACTTTACCTTTTCAAAATTGATCTCTTTTATGACACAATGCTTGCTATCCAATTTCCCTTTAGCTAAGTATGCTCTCCCGAAGGCACCTTCCCCGATGGCCTTAATCACATTGTACTTATCCATGGTCTCGGATGGGCTGAGGTTCCTGGAATTACAGTAATGTGAATGTATCACACATGTCTCATAAAGACTAATAAAGTCAGAAAATTGATGACTAAAGTGTTAAAGAACTCACTTTGCTAAAACTTTCCTCCCAGCCTTGCCAAGACAGACAAATAACTTACCTTGTGGCCACAGGTAACAACTGAAATGAGACAGTTTCTCGGTCAGACATGGGTCATAGCTCAGCTTTGATACACTTGTGCCCTGTGTTCTTGAGTAAGTCACTTAATCTGGAAAAACCTTACTTTCCTAATTTCTAAAATGGAATAACAATACCTGTTTTGCAAGTTTGTTCTGAGAATGAAAGATACTATATACCCGGTATGTGCCCTTAAACCTGTGTACTTTTACAGTCCAGCGTTTCTTAGTGGGAACGTACTGCCCCCTAGGGGCAATTTTGGAAATATTATGAGGGTGGGGATGCTGTTTCCTCCAGAAGCAGAGGCATGCGGTTGCCAGGTGGGCGGGGCCTGACATGCTAGGATTCTGCCATTCGAGAGACGGTCCCGCACAATAACTGATTACCTTGCGGCCCTACCACCTTGGAGAGTCTTCCTATAATTCATGTGAGTGGAAAAATCTGTTTGTAATAATCTACGGCTAGAACCAAACTCCATTTTACATGGAAATGCTAAGTATTTTTGCACAGTTCTAATGAACACTGATTTTTTTCCCTAGGAATGCAACTACATGTAAATCGAGGCTTGATTGCACTTTGCTTTAGAGGTTTACCAAGAACTGTTCACCATCTTGGAAAATCACGCCCTCCACCGGCCACGCTGCTCCTGGTCCCGGAGACCTAACAATCTGTCTTTGCTGCCCTCAGGTTCCGGCGACTGTCCAGGCGCGACTACTGGCTACTTCTCTACTTCTTCAAGGGCAGTAGTGCCAAGCATTTTCAGATTGAAATATGTACTTTCTTATTGCTTTCCTTCTATTTCCCCTTTATGCTACAGTTAGGGCATAATACAGTTTTGTTGTCGCTGTTGTTTTTAATGGGGTGAGCAGGGGGGTTGTTTTCGAATAATGTCAGGGTAGGAAGTGGGTACCACTGGGTTGCATGGGACTGGAAATCAGCTCCACAGCCAGGGGAGGCTGCAGACACCCGAGGACCGGGTTCTGAGAGAGACGGATGCGGACTTGGGGTCGGAGGTGACCAGCCGGGAACTGAGGGCACGCGACCTTCCAGCCCAAGTGGCACCAGAGGGTGAAAGCCCCCAAGTCTAGGAAAATTCCATCTCCCCTAGGGCCGCCCCCGGAGGCGGCAGCTGGAAGCTGACCCGGACCGAGCTCAGCGCGTGGAGCGTTGCCATGGAGACCGACACGCCCGCGACGCTCCACCCACGCAGCCCGGGAAGCTAGGCCTCCTCTGGGACGCCCCTACCGCCAGTGTCCAGGACGGACACTCTTCCCCTTTCCTCATGGCCCTGAGGCGGCTTCGGGCAAGAACTGAGGCCAGCCCCTGCAGCATACCTGCTCCGCCGGCTCCGCGGGGCCAGCAAGCTTGTGGAAAGGTTCCGGGTTGCAGGAGCCGCTGCGCCTCCCCACAGCCGGGGCGGAGCCGCGCGAGGAAACGCGGCGGGGGCGGGGCAGGGCTGGGATGGCCAGAGGACCGTTCCGCACCGTGCACCGCGAGGTGGGTCAGGCGCCAGGGAGTTTGGAGAACCGACAGAGTCACCCCCAGTCCTGTTGCCTTGGGTCGGGATTCCTTTGCTTGCACTTCACAATAGCGCTCCCGCTTCGCAGACGTTCTCTCTTTTCTTTCCAACCCCGCAAGGCAGTAGTCTCCCAGCTTTACAGATGAGCTAGACTGAGACAGGAAGGGTTTCTTGTACGGGTCTCACATATTGCCGAGAGGCGGACGTGAGACAGGAACTGCTTCCTACTCTCTGGGCCACAGCGGCCGCTGCCAAGGGACTTTTAACAAAACCGGCGCCGCCCAAGCGTCTGCACCCACGCCCCATCTCCACCCCACCCTGCCCCACTCTGGATTTGCACATCAAGCAGCTGTCTAAAATGTTTAAGTTGCTGAAAAAAATGTAATTTCCAGCAATTGTAAATAGTGATGCAAGTAAAATATATCCAGTTGAATGTGAACAGTACGGTGATATGGTACCCGTCATCGTCCACCACACACACACAAACCCACAAAAAAAAACTCTTAAAAAAAAAAATCAAAAAATGAAGAGGAAAAAACAAAAGCAAAAAGAAATTCTAGAGCCGGGCGCGGTGGCTCACGCCTGTAATCCCAGCACTTTGGGAGGCTGAGGCGGGTGGATCACGAGGTCAAGAAATCGAGACCATCCTGGTCAACATGGTGAAACTCCGTCTCTACTAAAAATACAAAACATTAGCTGGGCATAGTGGTGCGTGCCTGTAATCCCAGCTACTCAGGAGGCTGAGGCAGGAGAATTGCCTGAACCCAGGAGGCGGAGGTTGCGGTGAGCCGAGATCGTGCCATTGCCCTCCAGCCTGGGTAACAAGAGCGAAACTCCGTCTCAAAAAAAAAAATTCTTAAAAATCCTAAGTTTACATCAATGCTTTTTCTCCTTCCTCCTGAAAATCATCTATCCGCCCCCGCCCCGCTTTCCCAAATTTCTTCTTCTTATAAAAGCACTCTAGTCAAATTGGATTAGGGCTGAACTAAAGGCCTTATTTTGATCTAATTGTATCTTTAAAGTTCTTATCTCCGAATGCAGTTTCATTATGTTACTGGCGTTAGATTTCAAATATGTGGATTGGGAGTGGCGGAAAGGGGCTGGGGAATGCAGCCCGTAACAGGAAAGTTGTTTAGAAGTTGGAACATCCAATGTTAGTTTCTTTGGCAGTGAAACTATCTCGAAATATCAGTAGGTATATGATCTACTTGTTTTTGTTTAATTTCATGTGTCAGTGACCACACCCAAATTTCTTCTCTCGAATTCTTAGACATGCTTTATAAAATCATATCTTCATTCTACTTTCCTGATAGAATTTTATCCCAGTTATCTTTTTCATGCTTGAAAGTCTTACTGATCATCCTGTCATACTGCTGAAAGAAGTATAGAAATGGAAATTTATATTTCCTGCTCATAAAATTTAATTTTTTCTGGATTAAATTGTTAAAATTACTAGTACTACATAATTTATCACAAGAAAATAGATCATAATACCAATAATTATTAAATATAAAAAATAAAATTCTGGCCAGGCACAGTGGCTCACCCCTGTAATCCCAGCAATTTGGGAGGTCGAGGCTGGCAGATCAGGAAGTCAGTAGTTCAAGATCAGCCTGGCCAATATGGTGAAATCCCATCCCTACTAAAAATACAAAAATTAGCTTGGCAGGGTGGCACATGCCAGTAATCCCAGCGACCAAGGAGGCTGAGGTGGGAGGATCGGTTGAGCCCGGGAGGCCAAGGCTTCGGGGAGCTGTGATTGCACCACTGTGCTCCAGCCTGGATGATAGAGTGAGACCTTGTTCCAAAAGTTAACTAAATAAAAATAATTTTTTTTTTTTGAGACGGAGTTTCACTCTTGTTACCCAGGCTGGAGTGCAATGGCGGGATCTCGGCTCACCGCAACCTCCGCCTCTTGTTATTGCTTATCATTCTGTCTGCTGAGAGGTTGTTCTGCAGGCCTTCACCTGGGCTCATGCACATGGCTACATTTAGTTTGGGTGTCAGCTGAGAGATGGGCATAGCTGGGATGCTGGATCACCTGAGTCTTTCTCTCCATGTGGTATTGTTTTAAAATATAGGTTTTAGCGCTACCTCAGGATGTAAAGTGTAACAAGGGGCGAGGTGGGCAGCGTGGGCCTGTGGGGCTTAAGGGTACCCCTAGCTCCCCCCGCAGGGGGCTCCGCAGTGGTCTGCTCTGGTTGCCACGTGTGGATTTGGGTTCTAAATGGAAGGCTGTGTGTTCTCTGCTGCTTATTGTTGCCCGGTTACTGTGGCGACCACCAGAGCAGCCTTAGCGCTGTGCAGGAGCCCGGGTCTACCTCTCAGCCCTACTTGGGGTTGGTCCTGCTGGAACTACACAGGGTTGTGGCAGCACTGCCTCAAAATATGACAGCAGATTCTAATTCCTATAGGTTTCCATGGGAATTCGTGATATATGCAGCTATTGTTGGATTTTTTGCTGTTCCCATTTTTTTGTGGAGAAGTTTTGAGATCGATTAGGAGTTGGCTTTATGTGAGAAGAGAGAAAAAGCTTGCCGGTGTGCTTTCTGGACTAATTGACAAGAAATGTAAACTACTTGAAAACCTTACCCTCATTAAAAAAGAGCATAAAGGCTGTGCAGTAGAGTCATCTTTAAAGGAGGCCAGCTTTGAGGAGGAGGCAACAGAGGCACGAAGTTTGGAGGCAACATGTGAAAAGCTGAACAGGTCCAATGATGAGCTTGAGGATGAAATACTTGGTCTCGAAAAAGAGTTAAAAGAACAGAAATCAAAACATTCTGAACAAAAGCAACTGATGGTGGATATTTCAAAAATGATAGTCTCTAGGAGATGAGTCAGAATCTCTCAAATCACAAGTAGCTGAAGCCAAAATCATCTTCAAGATATCTCAAATGAATGAAGAATGACTGAAGATAGCAATAAAAGATGCCTTGAACGAAAATTCTCATCTTCAGAAAAGCCAGAAACAGTTTTTGCAAGAAGCTGAAGTATGGAAAGAACAAGTGAGTGAGCTCAATAAACAGAAAATAACATTGGAAGACTCCAGAGTACACGCAGATCAAGTTCTAAACGATAAAGACAATCACATCGAGACTCTGACTGAACGCTTGCTGAAGATGAAAGACTGGGCTGCTATGCTTGGAGAAGACATAATGGAAGATGAGAACTTGAAATTAGCAATGAACAGCGAATCAGAAGATGGTGCTTACTTAGATCATCCTCCAAAAGGAGCTTTGAAGAAACTGATTCATGCTGCTAAGTTAAATGCTTCTTTAAAAATCTTGGAAGGAGAAAGAAACCAAATTGATTTTCAGCTATCTGAAGTTGAAAAAACAAAAGAAGAGCTTGCACAGTGCATTAAACATCTTCAGACTCAACAAGCATCTTTGCAGTCAGAAAACACACATTTAGAGAGAATCAGAAGCTTCAACAGAAACTTAATGCCTCAATTCTATCAAGAAAATGAAATGAGACTCTATAGGAAATTAACACTAGAGGAAAACAGCCGGTTAGAGAAAGAAGAGAAATTTTCTAAAGTAGGCAAAAAGATCGTCCATGCCACCGAGAAGCTGGAGACCTATAGAAAGTGAGCCAAAGATCTCAAAGAAGAATTCAAGATAACTATTCATTACTATCAACGGTGGACTATTACCTATTGAGAAGAAAGCACATCGTCACATCGTAATTGGTTGGCAGCTCGGACTGCTAAAGGAAACCTCAATGATTTAAGGAAAGAAAATGCTCACAGCAGACAAAAATTAACCGAAATACAGTTTAAGCTGTTAGGAAGAGATCCTGATGCACTTTTATGTTCCAAATATGGCATTTGGCAGAGAACATTCCCCATATGGTCCCTCACCAATGGGTGGATCTTCATCTGAAACGAGAGCTTTTCTCTGTCCTCCAACTTTGTTGGAGGGTCCACTCAGACTCTCACCTTTGCTTCCCGGGGGGAAAGGAAGAGGCTCAAGAGGCCCAGGAAATCCTCTGCATCATCAGATTACCAACGAAAGAGGAGAATCAACCTGTGGTAGGTTACCAGATCTTCACAGGGCTCCTTCTGACACTGGGTTCCTGTTGATTCCGTGGGAACAAGCCTGTAGGATGATGTTTCCTCCACCAGGAAACCAGGTCTACTGTGGTTGCAGACAAATGGGAAAGTAACTTTATGCTTAATTAAATTGTAGTTTATTTTTAAAATATATACATATATGTTTTATTATTCTTCAGGTATGGAGAGACCAACAGGTCAAGAGTCTATTGCCACTGAAAAGACAGTTTGTGACTCACAGATCCCATGAGAAGGGAAAGTACTAAGCCATGCAGGAGCACATGGGGAGGCACTGTGGTCAATGAGAAGGCAGGAGTGATGGGAAAACTTGGGCAAGAGCCTTTATTGTGGTTTCCATGGGAAGGAATGAGAGAGGCAAGGTGAACTAGGTTAAGGTTAGCTATTATAGTGTGAGTAATTTCTGCAGGCTCTGGTCATAGGGGCTGTCCCTAGTTGTCTGGTACCTGGCCCTGGGGTGATTAGGGCAGAGGAATAGTGGCCTACACCACATGAGTCCTGTGGAAGGCTGATGAAGTGGGTAGCTGGGGACATCAGCTCTGGACTGGTTAGTTTGTGTGTGAAAAGCGTGGCCTGGCCAACACAGTGAAACCCTGTTGCTAGTAAAAATAAAAAAAATTGCACACCTGTAGTCCCAGCTACTCGGGATGCTGAGGCAGGAGAATCGGTTGAGCCCGGTAGGTAGAGGTTGCAGTGAGCCAAGATCGTGCCAATGCACTCCAGCCTGGGCAACAGAGTGAGACACCATCTCAAATAAGTAAGTAAGTATTGAGAAGTCATCTCTTTAAGCACTGGATGGGCTCCTCATGTATTATTAGTTCCTGTATCCATAAAGGAATGCTAACTTTTCTACAATAAAGTTAAAACTGATTTGCTTCCTTTTTTTTTTTAAGGCTGTAAGTGCTGAGAAATAAGTATATAGAAATGAAAGTTTTGTTACAAGAGTCCCTTCGATTTTTGCCTAGTTGTATCTCAAGAATCTTATAGCAATCTATCACCAAAAGTGGTTTATAATCATGAACTGATAATTCCATTAGTCTTCTGAAAGTTTATTAAAAGTAAAACCCCATAAGCCATTTGATTTTCAAAAGGATTCATTCTCCAGTACTCATCCAGTCTCTCAGTAACTGTCCCCAATTGCAAGTTGTTTTTGTTTGATGGTTTGGAAATGTTTATACCCTTGGGCAATGCTAAGATTGAAGATAAGAGGCAT